GTTAAAGCCTCCTATACGGACGTGGCGGCCCTATAGCAGTACTATATCGAATATATCTTATAGGGGTGTATTCTAGCGGATCCTGGCTAACTAGTAGTTCTCTAAGTAGATTCACTAGATTATAAGGGCCTTATCTCCGGTCCTAAATATAACCGTGTAGGTATTATAGTAAGCCCGCTATATCTATATATATAGCGGGTATCTTTTATAGATATATAGTAGGGCGCGGCCCCCTCCTTAGATTAGCCGTTATACCCTTTAGGAGGGGTAGGCAGGGCTTTTCGTGAAAGGGTTAAGGCCGGGTTCCCATTATATTATACTTGGCGTGGTATCAAAGCGGGAGCTCCCGCCACGCCTGACTCCTCTCTATATTCTATAAAAGGATATAGATTCATATTAGTTAGTAGGGGGGGGGGGTTAAGATAATATACCCGGTATAACCGGGGTCTAGCTCTAGGGTTCCTACTACGGTAACTTATTAGTCCCGCGGGGGACTATATAAGCGCTTATTAGGCCCGGTACCGGGGAGCCCTCCTATTCTCTAGTCCTTTTCGGGGGTTATCCTCTACCCCTATAAAGGGGTTAGTCCTAGTCCTAGGCGATAATAATAGGGGGGAAGATCTACGGCTACCGCGGGTATACCGCTTTAGTTTAGCGGGTAATATTAAAGTCCCTGGCTTAGTACTTATATACTTCGCGGGTTTTCTTAGCCTTTTTCCTTAATAGTCGGTATAAATTATTAAAGGTATTGTAATCTCCGGTGTATACGGTATAGCGGCAGGGGCGCCCGGGCGCCGTAGCGTTATAGTATCCTAGACCTTATAGATACGCCGATTCTAGCTTAGCGTAGTAGCGGTATACCCTCTCTACCACGGGGTAGCTATTAGCCCTATAGCCGAAGTATAGGTATTTATAGTACCTTAGGGGGCTAAGGTTAGGATTATATAGTTTATAGATATAGCTACCCCCCTTAAAGAGGAGGGTATTCCGAATAAGGCTTACTATCCTTTCCGTCGAAGCCGATTCGATAAGGAGAAACACTACCCTACCGGTGCCGTGGCGGGGTACTTATTATTATACGCGGAGGATATTTATCTCGGGGTTTATATTTTATAAGGATATTAGTAGGTCTTTTTCGGAAAGCGTATTAAGGACCTCCTTTGGGATAGTCTTCGCGAGTATAGGATAAGTGTATACGGCTAGGGTAGCTCCTTTACTAAAGGTCTTCTTAACCTATTATTTCTTATAAGTGGCCTATTACTATACTCCTTTAATAAAGGTAAGGTAGATATCTTTACTAGGCAGTTTCCGTGCCGCTATAGTATCGTGTCGCGTAGTCGTGGTATTTATAGCTTAAATAATTTCCTTTAGAGTCCTGGCCCTAAGGGGCTAGTCTTCGGGGAGGGTTCCTTAGCAGACAATTAGTTTCTAGTAATACTTAGCGGGGATTACTTTAGGGGCGGCGGGGTCCCGCGGCGGTGCCGCCGCGGGGGCTTAGGCTATAATATTAGCCTAGGTCTTTTTTATATTGTTTATCCCTTTTCGGAGTTCCTCTCGGATAATATAGTAGATAGATACGTATAGGAATATTAGTAGTAGCGTGCCGGCGTTATTACGGGTACTATGTATCGTGATTAATTCCTTTACTAGCTCTATGACCTGCTTAATCGTGTTCCTATTAGCTAGTAAGGCCTGAATTTCTGCCTTAATCTTAGCTATTCTTAGTTCCGGGGGGCGCGGTAGCCCCCTTTCGGTCTTATATCAGTTCCGCGCTATTTCCTGCCTTAGGGGGGGGGGCGCTTATATTACGAAAGGTGGGTCCGTTAGGAATTCTATATAGTCGAGGTCAGGATAACGCTATCCTATAACTCTTCCGGCTATAGAGTAGTGCCGGTATTACGGTACCGCTATAATAGTATCCCGGGAGGGAGGCAGTAGCTATAATCTCTATCTCGGTGGTTTTATCGATTGTACTCTTATTACGCGCCCGTGGTTGATGGGCGTGTCGAAATCCGGTCGTGTGTGTCTGTTTTTAGATATTAAAAGAGCCTTCGATTATATCGCCCGCCCCTAGCTACTTAGGACCTTTTAAGGACTCTAACTACCCTTAAACCTAGTTAAATAGGTAGCCTCTTTTACAGAAAATAGACGTATTTAATTAGCCTTCGAGGGGTAGGTTTAATAGCCTACCCCCCTAAATATAGGGGTTTTATAAGGCTCTCCGGTTTCTCCTATCCTATTCCTGAATTATATTAGGAAGGTTATAGCGGGACCCGATTTTCAGAGTCTTTGGCTCTTCTATATCGACGATTTTTAGCTATCTATAGCGTCTACGTCAACTAGGAAAAACTTTCAAACCCTTAAAAAAGCCGTAGCCTCTCTTTTCGACGTAGTAAAAGTTAACTAAGTCCTTTTCGACCACCGAAAAACAGAGCTTATTCACTTCTATCAAAGACGCTCTAAAGAAGACGCCCCTATTACTATAGGGGGGTATGTACTTAAACCTACGCTAGGTGCTATTAGGTGACTAGGGGTCTAGTTTAATCCTAAACTATCCTTTGAGCCCCACGCCGAAAAACGCCTAAACTTAGCTTTAGCAGCCCTAAACAGGTTATATAGGCTAGCTAGCTCGTAGAGGGGCCTTTCTTTTAAGGCCCTAAGGCAGCTATATATAGTCTATATCGTATTATTAGCTGATGTTAGCTTATAGCTCTGGTAGGACTCTAAATCCTCGAAAAAACACCTCGTGGACCGCCTAGAACGTCTATAATACGGCGCTCTTGTTAGGGCCCTGGGTGCCTTTAGGGGGGCCCCTTTGCGGCCTCTAGAACTCGAAGGAGCAGTGACCCTAGCGGGGGTTCGGTTAACTAGGTCTAATAGGCTTTATGCCTTTAGGACCTTAAAGTTCCTACCCAACTACTCTATTAAACGCTAGCTCCTAGGCAGTGAAAACCACCTCGCCTAGTTATAGAACCTACTACCTACTATATAACTACACAGGCTAGGCCTAGAAATAGTGGCTTTAGCAGGTTAGTCTTAGGATATTAAGGGTCCTTCGGCTAGGTGGGAGGCCCCCTGGGCTTCGGAACCTATAGCGGATCTAAGACCCTTTTTCTCTAAAGACCGGCCTATAATAGCTACCGACCCTAACCCTGGCCCTAAAACCCTTGTTTAAACAATAGCTTACCTCGAAGCCCGCGCTGAAATATAATAAAACCTAGGCGAATAGGCCGCTGTTTTCTATACCGACGGATCCCTAGGCTATCCTATAAGGCTCTTTATAGGGCCCCCGTAGGCTATAGCCGCTATAATATAGTGGACTAAGACCGGAAGGCCCTGTAAGGCTATAGGCTTTAACCTAGGGTCCGCTGCCGAAGTCGCGGACGCTAAATTATACGCTATCCTTTAGGCCCTCCACGCTGCCCTAGAGCAGACGCCTAGGCCCCTGGAGTACTATATTTTCAGCGATTCACAGGCGGCTATTTAGAAGCTTTAGCGCACCTTATAGTAGGCTATAGAAGCTAAACCCCTTATCTTACGCCTTAAATAACTAGGCATTTCGGTTTCTGTATAGTAGTGCCCCTTATAGATAGGGATAGAGGGTAACGAACCAGCGGATAAAGTGGCTAAAAGGGCGTTAAACCCTAAAAAGGCTACTAAATCCGTTAGCTTAGTTACCCTTAGCCACCTGAAACGCCGGGTAAATTAAGCCCTTATTTAAGACTAGAAAACTCTATAGAATAACGAAGAGAAGACGGAAAAAAGAGGTAAATCGGTTCGATTAAGCCGCCTATATAGGCGCCTAGTCCGCGATAACCTCCGTTTCTCTCAAAAACCACTACGAATATAACGTCTTAGGGAGGTAAAATAGGCTTTTACGTAGTTAAAACCCGGCTTCGGATACCTAAAAACCCACTAAAAAAGGACCTAAAAATACGGTAATGACCGCTTTTCCTATCCCGGCTCCTCTATACAGGATATAGTATACCTTATTCTCTCCTGTCCTTTTTATAAAAACGAACGAAAAGCCCTACGAGAAAACCTAGTAGGCTAACCGCTATCTTTACCGCTGTTATTCGGTACTAAAAGAGGAATACAGGCCTTATAGGCCTATCTTTTAGCTGCTAAAATAGCCTTGGCGGAGTGGTATAGGGCGTAAACCATAAGTCCTGCGGTCTAGTTATTTTGCTTTGGTTTTTTACCTATTAGGTCTATTAGGCAGACTATTATAGAGGATTTCCTTTGTTATTACTACGCCTTATTTTACTATACCTAGCTTCTGATAGCCTTTGGCCCTTAGGGCGATAGACTCCGCGCTATAGCTTTAGGGCTGTATACGCGTAATGAATTAAACAAAAACCCCTTCTATCACGATGCCGAAGCAATAGAATATAGAAGTTAGCTACCTTACTTTACCTTACCCACCTTATATATAGTCATTCACTAACTATTTAACCGATATATCGCGAATAAATAAAATACTACCTAGTAGTAATATTAAACACACGATAACAGGTGTCTTTTATAGTAACAGTGTCTACTCTAAGTATTTATATCTTCTACTATAATATAATAACGGCTATATATCTTAACCTAGACGTATATTAAACATTAAGATATATATTCTTTAGAATACGCTACGTTATTATTATAAATAATCGTAAAATATATCGAGCGTGGTTACCGCGTTTTCCCGGTAACTATATATTATATAAGATCTGCTATATATAAGATACGTCCTTTAAGATATAATCATACTATATAGATATAGTTTTACCGTATAACTGACTTTCTTTAAGAGATATTTATCCTAATAACATATATTATAATCGCAATAAACGTATAGGCCTTATATAACGGTGGTTACGGAGGACAGTGTCTTCACACCCAACACGCTGTCTCGGCAATGTCGAACCCCCCAAACCCGGGTAGGCATGTTTTAAAGTCTTATCCTTATCTCCTTATCTATTAGCTGGGAAACCTGCCCAACCCAAATCTGTCTGGGTCGTCATCGATGGTCCTCATACAGAACCACTTCGCGACCCAGGTCTGCGGCTTGCGCATTCTTTCTCCATGGAGGAACTGCCGCTCCCCTCAACATCCCAGGAGGCGGAGGCTGTAAGTTAAACTCTGGACCTTAATCGCTCCGAAACTGCACTTCCTCTCCCCACCCGCTGCACTCTCTTTCGCCGCCCAGGGGCTTTTTTATTTCTTTTTTAAAGAGAACTGTTTCCATGCCTCTAACCAGGGATATCCATCTCCATATAGCTGGTCCTGGCCCTCTACGAACCCTCAGCGCCACGGAATCTCAAACAGATCCAGGAAACCCTATCTCGTCTTCAGAGATCTCCTTCAGGCTGGTGGATTGCGCGTGACTTGCTCTCGAGCGGAGACGATAAGGTGAAGTTTTATGGGGCCTTGACGGTGACCGTAAAATTAAACACGGAAAGGCACGTTGGCGATCCTGTGTTTCATCAACCACACCCCGTTGCTTACTCGCTGCCAGCGGCTCTCTGTCTCAGGACGACTCCCTAGAGCTCCTCCACAATCTCACGCAGTGGATCGTGAGGTCACTGAAGGATGGTTCCGGCATCATAGTCATCAGGAAGCTAATATCTGCCCTGGTGACCTTCTTCCTACACTTCCCTAACCAGGGTCGGCTCCTCATAAGACATCTATGTGTGTCTCTCAGCTCACCACAGGCACAATACCCGCTCTGCAGCATCGGCACATCAGTTGGCATCGATGCTGTGTTGCGCAAGCTGGAACTACAACAATTACGCGCCGCATTATGGCTTACGGGCACCCTCGTCGAGGAAGCTGGGAAGACAGACCTGAACACCAGTAAACAGTAAGTCCTGTCCCAGGTCTTGCCTCTGAAACTTCTTCCCTAGGGCGGTGGAATGATGCTCATAATTTCTGCGCAGCTCGGAACTCTATGAAGCGACCCTTGTCAATGCACATGATGCTGTCTCGGTGATGTCGTATTGCTTTGCATCTGGACTTGAATCGCATGATCTTTATATTGACTGTATCAAATGCCTACAGGTATGTCGTACCATTCTTCATCTAAACTCTTGCCTTTCCGAGCATGTACCTCTCGTCTGTTTTGGAATCACCACCTCCCAAGAACGATGCGTCGCCTTGGCTTTCTTTCAACGGAGTCTGGGCTTATTCGTCCTCGCACAGTCATGGATCTGGTTTTCGCAACGTGTCTCCCTTCCGAGCCGCGAAGTCATCAAGCCCCTTCGCACATTGACCGAACGTGTCTTTGAATCGCTCGGCAGCAGCGATCTTTTTGAGATTGCTGGCGAACTAGTCTACGATCTTCTTTCCAACTACCCGAGTTTCTTGGTCGACTCGCACTACCAGTTGCTTTTTTCGCTCCTCAATAGCCAGTGGGGTCACGAAAGGTATCAAGGACTAATTAATGGGGATTTTGAATTCGAATCTGTCCTATTTGGACAGATTATTCTCTCCTTAGGAGAAGCTCGAGCTCAGGAGCTTCTAGAGGAGGTTAGCGAGCAGAGTCAATGGTTTCTCTCGAAGCTTTGCGGCCTGACCGCAGCCCGAGGGTATCCTGTTGCCGATGACAGGATATTTGTTCCTGCCATTGAGTTCTGGTCGACGTTCACCGAGACAATCATCGACAAAAAATTCTCGGACGAAGCCGTACAGCCATGGATAGCTCCGGCAACTTCGCATGTCCTCCAAGTCGCATCAAATGCGTGGCGAAAGGCCTCTTTTCCACCAATGGAAGTTTTCCTTAGCTGGGACTCGTCTGACCGCATGGCGTTTGGCGACGCCAGGAAAGACGTCGCTGACTTCCTCCAATCTACCTATGCGGTGACAGGGCCGCAGCTCGTGTCTACTTTTGCAGACCTTGTGCTTCAACAGCTGGCATTGGAAGACTGGTGGGGGTTAGAGGCAGCGGCATTCTGCCTTAGATCCCTTGCCGATTGCGTGGCTGATGATACTTGCGACGGACCACTGAAACTTGTGTTTTCTTCGTCTTTATTTGACATACTTCAACGACCTGGTGGCGCCTTGCCTCCCCGGGTACGTCAAACTTGCCTGTCTTTGATTGAGCGGTATTCCGACTATTTCGAGAGAGAGACTGCTAGTCTCCCGGCAGTCCTCAACCTTCTCTTCTCCGTGCTACCAGACGCCGCTCTGGCGTGCCCAGCTGCCCGGTCTATTCAGCGGCTCTGTTATTCATCTCGGCGCATTTTGGCCAGTGAAGCAAATGCTTTCTTGGGCCAATACAACTCATTATGTGCCCAGTCTCAAGTGGACTGCCTAGCAAGCGAGAAAGTAATAGGCGGTATTGCTTGTGTGCTGCAAGCAATCGCAGATGACCGAACAAGGCTGGAGCACCTTGAGGTCCTCCTCAAATTCGTCCAGCACGATGCTGCGAAATCCCTACTGCTAATAGAACACCCTGAGCTGGCTGACAGTCACAAGTGTCTACTAAGTACAGACACGTTGGAAATATCGGAACATGTCGCCTTGAAGGCTCTGAGATGCCTCGCCAGCATTGGCAAGGGCATGCGGTCCCCTGTCGAGATTCCTGTTGACCTGGATACCGAAGCTAGTCTAGCGTATCCTGACCAGACAATTTTCCTCACACAAATTCAAGCCGATATACTGGGCGTCGTTCAGCAGATTCAGGAACACTTCCCCCGCAGTGGTGAAGTGGTTGATTGTATCTGTGATATTCTTCGAACTGGCTTTTCGGAGCGTGAGACTGGGCCCTTCGTCTTCCCGCCAGAGAAGGTGGTAGGGTATTTGACACGCCAGAATCATCCCTGTCCAAGGCTCGGCCTCTTTGTGAGTGCCGCGTGCTCTTTTATGAGCGCGTTGAGTAACTTCCCAGGCGCAGAAAGGGTCAATCTGTGTGGGGACCTCCTGTGTTGGGTGGCCAATCTGTTACAACTTCTTCCCGGTAAGGCCTGCTGATTATTCTTCTTAAAAAGCCTTGATTCTCACTGAATGCGTACCATATTAGAGCCAGAGACGGACCCGGAATTGGCACAGAACTGTATTGACTTTACCAATCGATTGCTCGTCAAATATCCTGCGGTATTTTTTCGCGGCGAATCCACCACCTCCGTCGAGATACTTTTTGTCTTTGCTCTCAGAGTCCTCGAAGGGCGGGAGCCGTTGCCAAAGGCTGCGGCTGCAGAGTTCTGGGTCAGCCCCTTCTTTCCTGTAACACTCGATGTCTTCTTTACAGCTTGCTAAAACCACACAGGCATCGTTTGTTTTGATCAGTAGTAACGATCCATCGGTGCAAGCTTTGGCTGAGGAGGCATTAACCCAGCTTGGTCCTTCGTTGGCATTCTCCCTTATTCGAGGCATCGGCGGAAACGCTGCCAGGAGTGAGCTTGATAAACTGTGCGAACCACTCAAAAAGTTGGTTAGTCGACATGCTAAGGCACAGGTTTGGCTTTCGAGTGCGCTGTTTGACCAGAGCTTCCCTGGATACCAGCTATCACAGGCGGACAAATCTGTGTTTCTGAAAAAGGTCATCAGGTAAGCATTCCGCTAGTCCCTCTACAGTTACCGACACGTCTCTGATGCCATTCGCTAGTCTCCGAGGGTCGCGGGCTACTAACCAAGTCGTCCGCGATTTCTGGCTCGCATCCAGGGGCTCAAAATTTGCATATACATCGTAAGATAGTCTTTGCGAAGCACTAAGAGTTTAGCCTTGAACTTAGGGTCACTGGTAGCCTAAAGATAAGCGATTCGGCGATAGGCAAACGACTAGCGTCTACGATAAAGAAGTTATCGTATAGACCTTCCCTAGGGTAGAATAACCTAATAGCGGTACTCCTTGTATATAGGGATAGAAGGGAACGAACTAGTAGATAAAGTGGCTAAAAGGGCGTTAAACCTCGAAAAAGCTACTAAGTCTATTAGTTTAGTTACCCTTAGCTATCTAAAATACCGGATAAATATAGCCCTTACTTAAGACTAGAAGACCCTGTAGAATAACGGAAGAGGAGGAAAAAAGGGGTAAATCGGTACGGTTACGCCGCCTTTATAGGCGCTTAGTCCGCGATAACCTCCGTTTTTCCCGAAAACTATTACTAATATAAGGCGCTAGGTAGGTAAAGTCGGCTTTTATTTAGTTAAAAACCGGCTTCGGTTACCTAAAACCCTACTAAAAAGGGCCTAAAATAGTGCTAACGACCGCTATTCCTGTCCCGGCTCCCCTATACAGAATACAGTATACCTTACTTCTTTCCTGCCCCTTTTATAAAAATAAACGAAGAGCCCTGCTAGAAGCCCTAGTATGCTTACCGCTATCTCTGCCGCTATTGTTCGGTACTAAAAGAGGAATATAGGTTTTAAGGCCTATCTTTTACCTACTAAAATAGCCTTAGCGGAGTAGTATAGAGCGTAAACGTCGGATTCTATAGTCTAGTTACTCTGTTTTGGTTTTTACCTATTTTATAGGTCGATTAGGCAGATTATTATAGAGGATTTCCTTTATTTATTACCGTGATTTACTATACTTAGCTTCTACTAGCCTTTAACCCTAGGGGCGATAGGCGCCGCACTATAGCTTTAGGGCTATATATATCGTATTGAATATAAGCACTTAAATAAACCCTATGTATAAGACTTGGGAATTCCCTTTTGGCGTAGTGGTATCTTTTTAATACGATAGTTATAAGCCCGGTTTATAATGCTTAAAGCTCTCCTTTTTACTCTTCCACTGCAGAAGCAACCACGTTATAAGCACTTAATCGACTATTATTAGTCTAATCAGGGCAACCTCTTTAATCAACCTCTTTAATCAGACAACTCCTCTAGTTACCTTCCTACTATTTAAGTTAAGTTAACGCCTTTAACGTTTATAAGTAGGAAGCTATAGCTAGGGTACCTTAATTAATAAGGCTACAGCTAAGGAGCCCGTTAAAGAAGAAGAATATCCCTTTGGGATAGGAAATAATACCCACGCAGAGAGATACCTTTACTCCTATTTTAGTAGAAGACACCTTTGTTAGGTGCCTGCAGCAGTGGTCATAATGGGTCCCCAGTGTAAACCTATAGGGGTCCAGGTATACCTAGTCCGAGACCCCTTAAGGCATAAACAAAGCAAGTTATCACACAGTAAACAGAATAGTCCCTCGAAGCAAATAAGGCAGTCCCCGAGGAAGTAAATAAGCAGCCCTTAAGGAGTAGAGCGTAGTCTTAAGGAGCGAGGGAGCCTCCCCCTTTAAAAGGGGAGGCTAGCGATTAATCTAACTCTTTAGCTATACCCACGTTCTAACCCTATTATAATCCTATCGTGATTATACCTGGTTCCTTACTTAACCCTACCTTTTCACTCTTTACGACTACCTATTTAATATTTGAATCACTTTACCCTCTAAGGCGCGAAGACCGTTAAGGAGAGTCACTAAGATATCTAACTATTATAAAATAAATAATCCTACCTTCGATTTCGATAAGGCTACTAGCCAGTTTAAGCGATAGCTACGTGATAGCGAAACCGCCTTTATCAAGGACGCCGATAAGGAATACGACGGGAATATATTAGGAATTAATACTACTCCTACTACTCCTACCTCTACCACCGTACCGGTACCTATTCCTGCCCCTATACCTACTCCTATCGCTAGCATTACCTCTACTACTACCTCTATCACCGTCCCCGTTCCTCCTATAACTATAATAGGACCCGTACGGGATCCTAACCGGTTAACTCAGCTATACTAACGGATAAATAACTAGATAAACGCATTAAATAGATAGAGGTATAGAACCACCGTAAGCGTAAGCTTACTTATCTTACTAAGCTAGAAGCGGATACTACTACCGTCGCTACTACCGCTACCGCCTTTATTAATCCCGTTATCGATTCCTACTAGGCCGATATTACCTACTATCGTATAGCTAAACCTCGATATCGTACTATCGTAACCCTAACAGGATCCTAGTATACCTATAATATATCCACGATATTATCCACGCACGGATCCGCTATATAGGCTAAGTTTAATTTCCCCCTACCTAAGTAGGATAGTATATCCTAGGCTAAGTATCGTACGTTTATCTAGGAGACTAACTAGCGGTTCGACCTGGATTCTTAATCCTTTCCTACGGATACTATAAAGAACTACTTCGTTATATCGTGCCTCCTCTACCACCTTAAGGAACGCTAGCAGGCTAAACTACGATATAAGTATAATAGCGACTCTAATAGGGTTACCTAGGCCGCCCTATAAGCCTGGCTATCCTATTAGGTTAACGATAATGATACCCGCCTAAGAGAGGTAGCGGTATAGATCCAGAGTAAATCTATCTTATCCTAGAGAGAGGGAGAGACCTACGCTAAGTTTATATAACGGTAGGAAGCCCTAGAGTCGGAACTACTAGGCGAGCTCCTAAACTAGTAGAGAATTTAGATAGTACTAATAAGGGTGCTTCCGCCTATTCAGGACTATATAGTGTCTATAGGGGTTCCTAAAGACTATTAGGATCTAGCCCCGGTCTATCGTAGGGCTAAGGCCTTAACTATTACTAACGGACTAGCCGGCGCTCGGATAGACTTTTAGTCTACTACCTAATAATGTTATCTTCGCTCGCGTGCGTATAGTTATAATCCCTACGCTCCGGCCACCTATAATTCTACTAGTAGCCCTCTTTATACCCCTGCTTCTGCTTCTATTTCTACCCTTACGCCTACCCTAACCTTTACTCCTACCTACCCTATACGCCCTAGACTATTATCGTACCTCGACTCTATTACTTACTATAACTATAACTTAAAGGGGTATTACGCTACTATATACCCTAGCCCTCGGGTATAGCGCTTAAGGAATAGTAACCCGAATGCCTAACCGGTGTCTATATCCCGCCCTATAGTCGGCCGTGTCACGGGCGAGGTGCCTTAGGAACTATACCCGCCTCGGACTACCCCTACTACTATACTAGTAAAGGCACGCGTGTCCCTTCGCTAAGATAGGGAATAGGTGTAGATAACGGCTCTCCTTAACGGAGGCGCCGATATTAACGTTTTAGACCGGTCCTTTCTAGGGCCTAATTAGGTCCCCGAGGGGCCCCCGGTCCCGGTATCCTGGATTACGGAAGGATATATAAAGGCTACTACTCTTAGGTCTACCTATAGGATCATCGTCGCGATAGACTATTAAGGTCGAAAAAGGGTATAACGCGCCGAGTTCCACGTTATAAATCTTACGGGCGTGAAGATTATCCTAGGGAGACCGTGGCTTATAGCCGTTAACCCTAATATTAATTAGTAGTATAGCACGTGGACTTACCCCTTAACCTACGCGGAACTTAGTATAGTTATATTACCGAGAGAACTATATAGGGTAGTTAGATAAGCTAAGTCTATCTTACCTTAACCTATATAGGTTCTACGCGGGGCCTATATATCGGCTATATTAGCCTAGCGGAAAACCCTTTAATGGGATATAAAGATAAATTCTTAGAAGCCGGGGCACCCGCTAGCACGCTACCGGAATAGTATTAAGATTTCGTTAACGTTTTTAACGTTAAGAACGCCGGGAGGCTACTAACGTATTAGTAGTAGGATTACGCTATTAAGGTCGAGGAAGGGAAAAAGCCCCCCTACGGCCCTATTTACCCCCTCGCCGTATAAGAGCTTAAGGTACTACGCTAGTATCTATAGGATACCGTTATAAAAGGGTGGATTAGACTATCCACTAGTCCGGCCGGCGCCCCTATCCTGTTTATCCCTAAAAAAGGTGGTAAGCTACGTTTATATATCGATTATAGGGGATTAAATAAGGTAATAGTTAAGGACTATACCCCCCTGCCCCTAATGCATAAAATCCTAGATTGGTTATTATCGGCGTAGTACTACACTAAGCTAGATCTTAAGGATATATACTATCGGCTCCGTATACGAGCTAGGGATAAGTGGAAGATAGCGTTCCATATAAAATACGGCTATTACGAGTACCTTATTATACTATTCGGGCTAACTAACACGCCCGTAAGCTACTAGCGGTATATTAACTAGGCGCTAACGGGTCTTATCGACACTATCTATATAGTCTATCTAGATAATATTCTTATCTATAGTAAAGACCTAGCTACCCACCGCGTATACGTCCGCGAGGTCCTTATAAGGCTTAGGCAGTAGTCCCTATATACTAACCCCGATAAGTATAAGTTTAAGACTAGAGACGTGGAATTCCTCGGGTTTATCTATAGCCTAGATAGGGTACGTATAGACCTATCCCGCGTTAAGGCAATCCGCGACTAGGAACTCCCTAATAGTGTTAAGAAGATATAGGTCTTCCTAGGTTTTACGGGGTTTTATAGACGTTTTATTCGGAACTACTCTAAAGTAACCGCCCCTCTTATAGACTATCTTAAAGGAGACTATACTAAAGGCTATACTAGCGGCTATACTAGGGGCCACGCCGGGGTCCTTATACTTTCTTAGTAGGCCTAGGCCGCGTTCGAAGAAATAAAGCTACTATTTTAGAAAGCGCCCGTTTTACGGTATTTTGACCCTGCTCTGCTAATACGTATCGAGCTAGATACCTCCGCTTTTATAATTAGGGCCGTTATTAGTTAGCTTAAGGATATTATCAGCTATAAAGACCTATCGTATTTATATCCCATAAACTACATAGCACCGAGCTTAATTATAGTATACCCGATTCTAAGCTTATAGCTATTATTAAGTCTTTTCGGACGTAGCGCCACTACGTGGCCTATAGTCAGAGCCCTATAGTGGTCCTAACAGACTACCTAAACTATCGTTATCTACTAGATAAGCCGAAGCTTAAGGGCTAGCACGCACGGTGGCTTAAGGAGCTCGCCCTATTTAATTTTAAGATTCGGCACCGCCCGGGGATATTAAACCCCGCGGATAGGCTATTAAGAAAGCCCTAGCACGCGCCCTATAAGCGCGCCCTGGTTACTAACCGGGCTAAGGCGGTAGAGTCTTTTT